AGGAATAGGTTTTTAAGTAAAAATAATTAAATTTCTAAAAACTTTAAAAAACTAAAATTAGAGCCTTCTATCTAATATTCTTAATATTTTTAGAAACATTTAAAAAAAATTAGAAACACTAATTTAAAAATTATATTATATTTTAAAAACAAACTGTAAATATAAATTTTATATTTTATAATTGCATATAATAGTTAAAAATAGATATTTATAGTATAATTATTTAATTTTATTACTTGTATTAATTTATTATAAATTTGTAAATAAAAAAATTTTTACTAGACTATAGGCAGGGTTGGCAATAGAGTCAATGGAGTTAAATGGTTACGTGAATGGAACTCAAAAAACTAGTATCCATTGGCCTCATTCAGAGCTTCATTGGCTCCATTCGCAGCTCCATTGGGCTCCATTACCAACCCTGACTATAGGTATTTTGTATTATATATAAAATATAAATCATGTAATTTTTCTATTCTGATTGGTTAATAGGCCAGAGATGTTTAAATTAGATATCACTAGCCAAAAATACTAATTATTTGCCAAATTTTGAAAATTATTCTAATTAGCAATTAATTTTTACTATAATTTGATTTTTATAATAATTTGCTATATATATTAGTATAACATTTAGGTAAAATCTAGACAATGCCCCCTAGCAAAATTTTTGTAATAAGAATTAAAATTAGATTGGAGTTAAAAATTAAATTTAAAATTGTGTAAAATTGTGAGAGGAACATGTTTGCTTAGTTACACAACAGGGTTACCCTAGTAAAATTTTGATATTAGCAATTTTATGATTAAGCCTGCAATAAGAGTTAGGGTTAGATTAGGGTTAGGTTAAGGTTAGTGTTAGAATTTAGGTTTAGTGTAGTGTAAAATTGTGAAAGGATCATTTTTGCTTAGTCGCAAAACAGGGTTACCTTAGTAAAATTTTGAGATATTAGCGATTTTATGATAGGGGGCACAAAGTGCATGGGGCACTGACTAGTCCAGTCCTAACATTTATTATAAAACATACCTATAGTAGTTTTGTATCTATTATGTTTTCACAGTATTGTTTTAAAATTTTACTTTAGGGTTAGTATTTAAAATTAGATTTAAGATTTAAGAATTGGGAAGAGTTTTGGGATGTAAACCATTTTTACTTAGAGCATTACACACCAATTAATTGGCTAATTTTTGAATACTGTAATGTAAAACAATATAGATGCGTTTAGTAAAGGTGCTAATATAAATATGGTTATAAATTAATAATTTATTAATAAAATATTGCAGAAAAATATTAAAAAACAATCTATTAACCCGTAAAACACAATAAAATATGCAAAAATATGTTATTATAACTAAAATTATTGTATGTAAAATGCTATCTTTTTCGAATTTGAAATACTTCATATTCCTCCACACAAAAGTAAGAACTGCCACCTGTATTACACCTAATTGCTTTTTCATATGTTGGAGACGGACGACTATAACATTCATTGCTCCGATTGAATTCACCATACAAGGCAAGATCACGACCACCACCAAAACATGGACCATAATTAGAATGGTTACCAACTGCAAAACCTGGATTTTTTACACGACTTACAGTGGAAGTTTGAACAGTACGAGTTTTCAAAGAAAAAATAAAACTATCAATACAACTTTTCCAGTTATTCATTGATTTATCCCATTTTGTTGGATTATATCCACCAAGAATTTCACCCGAACCTTTAACTTTTATGATCACAACAGTGTCAGCTTTTTTATTACATAAATTCCAAAATGTAGAAGGGGTAAAACCATCTCTAGTTCCACGAAGAAGTAATTTAAACTCATATGGATTATTTGCTACCGAATATGAATCAGTTCTATTATCAACCCATGCTGCAATTCCAGCTGCATGAAATTCATTGATAATTGTTGAAGGAAATCGATCAATCATTCTAGATGGTAATATCGGGTTTAAAATCTGACGAGGTGGAAGAATTGTTGAAGATAATTGTCTACTTGGAGTAAGAAATCTTTTGAAAATATCATCCCAAAGATTTTTTTCAATAATTTTTTTATACGGTTTCACTTTATCAACAATATCATCATTAGACATTTGAAAAAATCGAATAAAAGGTATAATATTCTGTAAAGTAGTCTTTAAAGTTAGAAAATTTTCACGAGTCCAATCTTCAGGGTCCGATGATAAATCTGAGTTTTGAGCAATTCCCCATCTGATAACATGTTCCCAAATTATTCCTTCATCCATTTGTAAATCATCTCGTTTAATTATTGATATTAATGCATTCTCAGGAAGAGCGGTGAAGTTTTCAGAATCAAAAACCTCATCTGGATTCTTGGCTATAATTTCATTGATCCATTTTTGTAGTTCTTGAAGCTTTTCACTTTGAAAAATTTTGTGATAAATATCGATCAAATGTAAATGAAGCCAGTAAGTATTTTCATTAATTAATAAAGCTTCAAGGTGTTTAGTTAATTCATCTAGATGAAAATCAGAGGCAACGAGCATGAGTTCAAAAATAAATGAAGGTTCCTTATTTTCTAACAAATTTATTCCTCCATAAATATATCTTTTAATTAAATTAATAAATTTCAATAATTTAAAATTAGTTCTCTTATTTACTTTAAGATCTAATTAAATATTTGTAAAATTAGACTTTAATTTAAATTCTTTCTAAATCTAAAATTCGGAAAGTTTACCCGTATACATAAATTTAGGCATTTAAATAAAGGTCTAATTTTACTAGTTAAATGAAAAGTATACTTACTCTATAACTTTTTCAAAGTGTTGAATAGGAAGATTTTTTAAATTAATTACTTTAATATTATTTTTATCTTTACTAATACCAGCTAATTTATCACGAAAATATAAAGATCTATATCTTAGAATGTTTGAGTGTGCTTGGAATACTTTAGTGTCGGGTGATTTTCCAACATTGATAATTACATTAAAATCTTCTTTATCGTTGAGGAGTTCAAGGAAATCATTCGAAAGCTTTTCAAAGAATTTTGCAGCCATTTGGAAATGATTATCGAATATGTCGCGAGTAACCAAAATGTTGCAAAATAAAAGAATGTGTCTTCGGATTAAAGTGAAAAAGATCGCTTCTATTCGGGTCTAATTCAATTATTACCGAATAAAAGCAACCTTCCACCTTGGAATTCAAAAATTTGAAGATTATGTTCAGCATCGTTACTACATACAATTTTTATCTATTTGTACCTTTTTTAAAAGACTGACAATCATTATCCAAAATTACTATTGGCTACATATCATCTTTTTAAAATGTGATATCTTGGTTAGTGTGGTTAGTGTGGCAGCATTATGCAAAATTCTATTCAGCCTAAGGTTAACTTCTTGGTTTCATAATTCGACCTGGTCGAGTTATGATATGAAAAAGCAATTATGGAATTCCAAATCAAGTAACCCGAGAATGTGTACCAGGTTGTGCTTCGGACGATCATGTGATAGTATAGAGTAAACATCCGGAAACCAAATTTTGAAATTATACATTTTTTATTAATTGAAGCTAATGCAAATAGGTATTCATAATACATTTTTTATGAACGATTAATAAAAAAATTTTTTTATTAAATTATCATTTTTTGGAAGCTTCATTATTAATAGAATTTTCGGTCTCACAATTTTATTTTTTGCCTTACTATATGACTATGAATACAATGGTAGCCTTTAAAATAACCTTTTGCCTTTTACTGAAAGGTTCAGATTGGTTACACGGTGGTCTTTGATATTTCTTGAAATTCATTTAACCAATTTAAGACGCTTTCATTGCTATTAAGGTCATATATAAATTCACTAATATTTACATTTCAGATATAATGAATGATTCAAGTTTAAAATATTATTTGTGAAATACTGTAATTTGTCGAAATGAAATGTATAAGTATTATTTATTTCCCACAACGGCGAGAATAAGAGGTAAATCACTGGTTATATGAGGGTTCGGATTATTCCCTGTAGTGGGAAACAAGGGTGTTATTCTTCGTTTTGTATGATATCATGACGGTGGTCTAACGACTTATAATACTACTTTAAAAATCAGTGAGAAGAACAAGTTTCCGAATCGTACGAAAAGTGTGTCCATGATAATTCAGAATAATTATGGAAATGTGTAACAATAACCTATGACGCGTTTTTTTTACTGATTAATATAAGTCGTGGAAAAATACAAGTATAAAAAGAATGAAAAAAAAAAGAAATAGAAAGAGAATAAAGAAGCTAATCATCGTTTCATACTATTATTCTATTATTCTGTAATTTACATTAGGATCTACCTATCTGCTAATCAAATCAAGGAATTCATTATCGTTATAGTCGATATCATTTATTACATATTACTGGCGAAGCTTTTATATCGATATTAATTTTATTAATTGTACAAATGTTGTCACTTTTAGAAACGTACTGCTACTTTAGGTTAAATTATAAATATTTACATCTATCCATTAACTTATCTATATAACAATGTTGTAAATATCGTATAGTATATTATTATTAAAAGAATATTTAACACCTAATGTTGTAAGTTTCCCAAACTTTAAACTTACTTTGGATCGTTGAAAATCGTTTTTTTTTTTTGACAGTTTTATAAAATATAGGATATTTTATATTAATATTAATATTAATCTACAAGCTAGGGATGGCATTTACGATAAATTTTATTTTCAAAAAAGTACTTTAAACAAGAATTGATTTGCATCTGTCAATCATATGAGGTCTATAACTAGTACATATTTTCGAACTGCATTACAATTAAATCAATTCGATTTTAAATGAGTACAACACCATGCGATTTTCTAGTTTATGCCGTAATTTTATCTATTCTTATATATAGTGTTTATGTAAAAAAAGGTTAAATTTATTGTTTTTTACTCAATACATAACATGTATCGCATATAAGCGCAATATTTTTATTAATAATAAAGGTTCACACGACAGGAACTGTGTAATAAATTTATTTTATACATCAACAGTTGTAATTCTTTTAAAACCTTCCAAACCAGAAAGAGCATTTTCTATTGACATTACGCGTATTGCTAACAAGTCGATTGAAACTTGGCGTTGATAAGGTCTCACATTTAAATGGAACCTTCGTTGATTGTTCTTTTGGGTTACGTAATTTATCATAAAAATTGACAAATGATTCTCGAAAAATATCTCGTACAGTCAGAAAAGTCTCTATATCATCAATAAAATGTGTCATTGTTTTTACTGAAGTGGGAATCGAGGCCTGACCAATATAGTACATAAAATATAGCCCCGGTGCACTAAGTTCCATTGCATAAAAATCAATTGTATATTCTAGAAAGCATTTGATGAAATTATTTTAGTATTATATAAAATAAAAGAACAAAGTAGCTATTATTTTAATTTATCTTACCGATACACTGAAATTCTAAAAGCTTAACATCTGCGCCTTTATCTATGGCTGAATCAATGCATTCCTTCATAAAAACGCCAACGTGTACTAAATTATTGCAGTTTTTGTATACATTTCCTTTTTCAGCAGGGGATGTCACTTCACCTACAAACAACGTTCCGCTTGTTTCTAATTGATTAATTACTGATACTATAAAATCGGGTTGTCTAGCTCTACCTTCCAATTTTCTTGCTCTACTTTCTTTGAGACCTGTATTCGGCCACTCAACTCTATGCTTGTCAGGCTCATGAAGTAATTCTTTCATTATATAGTCTAGATAGTTAGTAATTAATGACATTTCACTTGGCTGGCTTTTTAATTTTAAATTAGGTAGTAATTTCAATCCTTCTAAAATTATAAATCCTAGATTTTCCTTTGAATTAATTTCTGTTAAGTATGCTATGGTAGATTTAATGGCACTGTCTCGTGAATCATTGATTGACTGTTTTATTATTCTCCTGAATTTAAATTCACATTTCGCATCTAATTCTCGTTTATCTGTTGAAAAAAGTGTTTTATGTATTTTGTCCAAGTTTTGGGAACCAAAAATATTAATTATCATTTCAGAATGAGAATTTGGTGTAAGCATGAATATTGAAGTCAATGCTAAAATTTCGTGGACGTTTGTCTCAACATATAAACCACCGGAATTGGCAAGATTAATTGATTCAATTTGATATTTTCGAAATATTGTATCCATCTATAAAAAAATCACCTTCAAGCTCCCTATTCTCTAAAGATAATTGAGGAATATCCTTTATAATCGAAATTTCATCATCTTCGTCGTCATCATAAGCTGAATCTCAAGGTAATTTCTCTATTTCAGATGAAGATGGTGTGTATGAAGGTATATAATCTGACCTAGTCTGAATATAAAGCAATATATGTAAATTCTTTCAATCAATATAAACACACTGTTGTGCCGTTATCTTTTTTGTGGGTGGTGTCGATTCTATGTCATCCTCGTCTTTTCGCTTTTTATCTGTATGTTTTTCTTGCACTCTAGCAACGTCAGTATGACCAATTATGACATGCTTGTCTCGAACTTGCTCAAGCAACTTGTAATCATGTTCCTCAGCGGCATGATGTTTTTCACGTTCTGCTATTGAATCCCAAATGAAACGACTTGCTTGGACTAATATAATTTTAAATTAATTCACATTTTGCAGAAGGGCTACTAAATAAATTAGAAATTATAACATACAGACATCTTTTTTATCAACTTTCTTGAATGATTCTGAGCAAATTGTGGTATAGTTAGGTCTACGCTCAATGAATTCAGGATTTTAATGTAAAATCCGTGAATCGACCTCTGTTCAGTACTTTTTAGTATCTGTTCTGAATCGAGTCGACGTAGAAACTTGATGAACGTGCAGGTTATGAAAGGAGCTGATGAAAAGTAGTCGTGCATATTTTTAGGAAGAGGAATCGTGTACTAGAAGGGCAGAAAATATAGTTGACTTTTTCGGAAAATAGAGATCACAACAATAGTAAATACTTACAGTTTTTGGATACGCCATATTACTTGTTGACAATAAATTTGAGTATAAGGTAAGCAATTTATCAGTTTCTTATGTCAATCAGTTTAACGCGCGAAGTACACACCCATTTGTAAGCAAACCTAGGATTGCCCATAAAAAAAATATCGTTGATATCACAATGACGACATTGATTTTTTGCATGATATTTTTCCAAGCAAACCTTGAATCGCACATAAAAAAAATATCGCAATGATGACATTGATTTTTTGCATGATACTTTTTTGTAAAAAAGGTTGCTTGATATAATAAAAATAAATTATCGAATAAAGTCTTTAATATTCACAAAAAAAAAGTCTTTGAAAATAACATTATTGGAAATAATTTGAAAATAAATTTAATCTCATCGATAGTCTGAAAATAAATTTAATTTCAGTAATGATGTTAGCGATATTTTTTTATGGGCGATGCTAGAGCTATTCATTTGTATTATTGATTTATATGTAACAACATGATTCTCTTCCAATCGATAGTGAAATAAAAATTTGAAAATTGAAATTTGTATAAATTTGGAAAATTTTTTTATCTGTATAAAATTTAATTTTAGCGAAAAAAACACTTAAGCAGGCCGGTCATTTACTCCAATAATACCAGAATGCTCGAAAATTTCAGAGTCGTCCAGAAGTCCTGATCAGGGCCGATGAAATTCTGCATTTCACAGAATGCTGCAGAAATTGCGAAATTTGGTCCTAAACACAGAATGCATCATGGATAGTATAGAATTATCGCAGAAAATAGGTTTTATAATTATTTTATAAGTACATTATGCTGCTTCCGAAAATTTTGGTGTAAATAAAATTTTTGTTTGATATCCAAATTTATCTGAAGAATAAACAATTAACTTATTGCAGAACATTCGAAATTTCTATTACAACCAATACAGAATTCATAAATAACCAACACAGAATTATAAATTTTAATGTACGTACGTACGGAACTTTTGCAGAATTTGATTTTGTCACAGACGGAATCGGCCGCAGAAAATCATTGGCCCTGGTCCTGATACAAAATCATATGAATTTTGGCCATTTCAAAATTGGAACCGTTGATACGTTACAAAATTGATGAAAAATTTTTTTATATTATTTTACAATACTTTTTTGAAAGGCTCGCTTGACTTATCTTTTCTATGAATATTGAAAATGGTTAACAAACATGAATTTCCTTGAATCCCATTTTGGTCGATACAATGAGTGATCTGTGTAATGAAGAATGAAAATCATATTTATTTTTGGACGGTTTCTCAACTTTACAATTATAAAAAATTTATTTTTGGGAGTCTCTTACAATACCCACGATGATTCGTTTCCTTGGTGACGCCCTCGTTGTGTAGCCCTTCTCCATTTGGAGAAGCTAGCTAGTAACATCTCTTCTTTGGAGCATGGAACTAGTTGTTTATAGCACCCATGACGATTTGTTTCCATTTGGTGATGCCCTTGTGTGTACAATCCTTCTCCTCTTGGAGAAGCTGGCTAGTAACGCCAGGCCCCTTCCATGGCTTCAACTTCCTCAAGAATGATTGTTAATACGATAAGCATAAATTTTATTTTTTTAGTATTGGGAAAATGCAAAATAGTTTCTATTTTTTGTTCACTAATGATTATATTTAAATATATTTATTATAAAATATAAAAAATTTATATTTGGGGAGCATGGAACTGGTCTCTTACAACACCCACGATGATTCGTTTCCTTGGTGACGCTCTCGTGTATATAGCTCTTCTCCTTTTGGAGAAGCTGGTTGGTAATGCCTCTTCTTTGAGTTGGCTGTTTACAACACCCACGACGATTCGTTTCCTTGGTGACGCCCTCGTGTATGTAGCCCTTCTCCATTCGGAGAAGCTGGCTAGTAATGCCTCTTCTTTGGGAGCATGGAACTGGTTGTTTACAACACCCATGACGATTCGTTTCCATTTGGTGATGCCCTTGTGTGTGCAATCCTTCTCCTCTTGGAGAAGCCGGTTGGTAACTCCAGGCCTCTTCCATAGCTTCAACTTCCCCAAGAATGATTGTTAACACGATAAGCATAAATTTTATTTTTTTTTAGTATTAGGAAATGCAAAATTTTTACTTTTTGTTCACTAACGATTTTATTTTTTTAAGATTTAAGATATTAGCTAGGGCATTGGTTACTCTTTTAAATTACAAAATTCTCTATAATTACTATGAAAAATATGTTTCTGATTTGCTTTCTGTTAAAAGTGAAATATATAGTATGCTTTCAAGGGAGGAATTACGTGGCATATAATGAGTATCAGATGACGATGTTTTTCATCAAAAACGTTAATATATAACAAGAGCAATATGTCTGTTTATTTTGAAACATTTACAGAGGTGGTAAAATCAATTAACATCGTCAGCCGAAAAATAAGCTAACTTTATTATTACTTTGCAGAAAATATAAGTTCCTTTGATTGTAAATATTAATAATATAAATAATAGTAAGTTTTATTTTTTGTTTTTTATTTATTTGTACAAGATAGATAAATAAGTTTACTAACCAAGGCCTCACTTTCTATACAATTTGCAATAGGTCTAAAGATTGATCCTGGAATCAAAAATATAACTACATTATCAACATCAGTTTATCTGCACAAATCATTAATTTTTATACTAAAGATAGGGTTGTTATTGAACTGAATAGTATTGCTTGCGACCTTTTTGAGCTGTAATGGGAGTTGCGATATATTTTAAATTTTATATTTAAAAAGCATAAATTTTTGCAAATAAAAAACATCATAATGTTGATATCGCAATATACTAAATGTCATGGTGTCGCAATATATTATAATGCAATATACCTAATATCGTGATGTAAATATATTATGTCATGTTGTTGCAATATATTATAATATATACAATATCGATAATATATGGGGTGTCCCATATTAAAAGAGACTATTTTGCAATTTTTTCGAAAAATGAGTTTTTATTAGATTCGTGTAAATTTTGACACGATTGACATTTTTCAATTATAAATGAAAGTCAATTTGCATAATGAAAAATAGAGATAATGTAAAAGAAAAATTACATGGCAAAGCACATCATGAGATTACCTGATAGTCATCTGTTACTTTTAACCAATCAAAATTGTGAAATTTGATTAATTCCAAATCAGTTCGAAAATTAAAACAAATGATTAAACTCAATTATCTCAAAATGAGATATATGTCAAAATGGTCCTTTTTAATATGAGGCACTCCATATACAATATCGATGATATAATTAAATTTTAAATTATTAACTTAAGTCGAGAAACCAATTATGTTAATATATTTGTTCATAGTGATATATAATTTACTTAGAATATAACTACTCAGTGACTTTGTGATTATATGATTTGCAATTTTTTTGCATATTGCATATTTGTATCTAACTTTGAGACTCTGAGGTCTTACATTAATTTTGATTAAGAAAATCACTTAAACAATATTTTTGTCAATATCTAATTGTTATATTGTAATCGTGTTGTAGAAGTATTTCATGATTACATTAATTGTAACTGAATATTGCTATGGACACGGCAATACGTGATTTATAAGCACCCAATAGAAGATATATTTTTATATCTTAGAACAAAAATAACTTGGCAACTACCTATTAAATTTTTTTATTTTGAATCTACAAAACCTGTAGAATAAAAAGAAAAAAAATTCATTGAATTTGGTTGGGTGGTTAATAAGCTATCTTTATTCAAAGTCTTGGAAAATTCAAAACGCCTATAAAATATAAATATGAAAAATATGAGCAAAAATAACTTAGCAGCCATCTAATCAAATTCAATGAAATTTTTATTATTATTATTTCACATTTCTGTAGAATCAAGATAAAAAAATTTCACTGAATTTGGTTTGGTGGCTCTTTGCTTAAAATTTTACAAAATTTTCACCGCAGCTATAGTTAATGGTTAATTAAATTTTTGTAAAACTTTAAACAAAAAAAACTCAGCAACTATTTAATTAAATTCAATGAAATTTTTTTATTTTTATTCTATAATTCTGTAGAAACAATATAAAAAAAATTTAGTTGGGTAGTTACCAAGTTATCTTTGCTCAAAGTTTTACAAAAGCTTCACCATAGCTATTATTTTGATAGGCATTTTAAGCTTTGTAAAACTTTGAGCAAAGATAGCTTGGCAATCACCAAACCAAATTTAATGAATTTTTTTATATTGATTTTACAGAATTGTAGAATAAAAATAATAAAATTCATTAAATTTGATTAGATGGTTGCCAAACTTTTTTCGCTCAAAATTATACAAGTTTTTTGTATCTATATTTTGATAGGCGTTTTAAATTTTCCAAAAGATAAATCATTAACCACCTAACCAAATTTGGTGAATTTTTTTTTTTTTATTCTGCAGGTTTTGTAGATTCAAAATAAAAAAAGTTTGCCGAATTTTGATAGTTGGTTACTTTTGCTCAAATTATAAAAATTTTAAATATCTTTTAAAAAAAATTTGGGGATCATTGCTATGTCAATAAGGTGATAAGTCACATAATGCTGTGTTCATAGCAATTTACTTTCTTCAAAGTTGGCAAAAATAGCATTTTAGAACTTTAAATTTTTCAGACAACTGCTTCAAAAATTGTTGCTTTATATTAGTTACATTCGAAAATTAAAAAAATTAAATTTTTGTATTTATTTTTGAAATCTAGAATATATTTTAGAAATTTAAGTCATTCTAAAGTAAGCTCGAAATTTTAAAATGTCTGAAAACCAACTTTATATTGTATTTATTGTGATAATTATAAAATTTTGTTAGATAAATTAGCTTTATAGCATTTATACTATTTTATTGTAATATAAAAGCTATAAAGGCCTCTGGTAAATAAGTTTCATGCTACTTACAATTATTGTTCCTTAATAAAAAATATCTCTTGATCCATAAAATCCTTAAGGCCCTAAATAAATACATCTTAATAAACAACCCAAACCAGATCTATTACTAAGTGGCATAGTAAAAGATTTTTGCTTGCATAATTGCCTTCATAGAAGATTGTTGCCTGGTTTATTCTCAACATACTGAGAACTGCTATAGCTTTTCAACATTCTCAACATATCATGGATTGTTGTAGTAATTGTTTTGGTTCCAGTTTGAAGACCAAAAAAAAAGTTCAAGCTGTGGTTTATTGAATAAAAAATAAAGATATTAATGTGAATTATTTGATTCTAGAAATGTCGGGATGTAGAGTTAATTTTACTATCACATAATAGTCAGAAAACAAATATTGTCAAATCTAAAAAATTTTGTTTATATTCAGATTATAGTTTGAGAGAATTTAAAAGAGTAGTTATATAGTAAAATTGCATAAAAAATTTTTTTTTAAAGATAGTTTATTAGACTAATTTCAAGATAAATATGTTTTTTGTAAAGCAAATGTTTGTTTTGAATTTTTTATTTTTTATTTTTTTTTTAAGTAATCTTGCTTTTATTTTTTGAACTACTATGTAAATACACTGTAACAAAGTATGTATGGTTTCATATAGTAAATAGTTCTAATCTAATAAAAACTCACCAGATATACCTAAGTATGGGTTTTTTCGACCTATTTCGTTTTTTAACCAATCAAATTCGTCTAAATACCAATCAAATTCGTATTTCAATCAAATTAGTATATTTTGATCTATCATTGATAATTCATTATCTAGTGATTTAATTTCATCAAAATTAAATTACTAGATAATGAGTTATCAATGATAGATCAAAATATACTAATTTGATTGAAATATGAATTTGATTGGTTAAAAAACAAAATAGATTAAAAAAACTTGTACTATTCAATATGACCTGCTATAACAACTATTAGTCTTACTCAGAATCTAAAACTTGCTTTAGATTTTGTATTGTTAAAGAATACCCCCTCGATCATTTGACAAATTGTTGTATACCATGTCAGGATTTATTTTTTTTCTCTTTTTTTCAAGAGGCATGAGACAAAAGGAAAAATTTTCCAACAAAGAGTAATGAAAATAACTAGAAAAAAAAGAAATATAAAAGAAAAAAGAAACACTAATTGCAAAAAAGAAAAACATAAAAAGAAATCTAAAACCCTAATGGTGCTATTATAATCCATATATGGCTGATAAAAATTATATAACAAATGCAATATTTGTATATTTCTACTGTAAAGCTTTGTTTTAATGTTAAATTTACTTTCTGACCTTTTCACCAACTCCAGATAACTTCATTGTCTGTCCTAATTTGTATCTCAAGTCAGGTGATACCATCATCTGAGGACCCATGTTTCAAGCCACCTGCTGCTATAATTAGAGTTCCCAGACTGAGTCCTATGAAAAAGTGCTATATTCGTCTGTAAACAAACATGTGATTATATTTTGCTAATCCATCTGAATTTGGAAAGTAAACAATGCCAATCTTTTGAAAGGAGTAAGCCAAATCGTTGAAATTTTTTGAAAAACTAGTGGAAGGATGAAAGAAAGTAAAAAAGGTACCACTTGACTAAGTAAAAAGAGTACAGCTTGAAGAAAATAACAGGATATTTTGTTGTTTCCCAGTGTCTTCAAAAAAATATAGCCTAAGAGCTTCATCAATAGAGAAAGAGGGATGTCCAAAAAGTAAGAGTTCTCTTCTCTATCAAGATTTTTTATATAAAGGCACCTCCTGCCAGTTATCTTGTATAATAATACTCTTGGCTTGCATGCTGAATGTCATCTTTAGAGGAGTTTTGCTAGCAGTATATTGACCTCTAGACAAACTACTACATTAGGCCACGACTCTCCAACAAAATTTGTGTTTTTCTTCTGTAAAAATTTTGGACTGAGTAATTATTAGAAAGAGTTGATTGCTTTGTTTTATTTTTTATATTATACCAGATTCTGGATTTTAATTGGCTAATAGATATCAGAAATTATATGATAGTAAAATTTATTCTATATTCTGGTTAGAGACTCTAAAAAATTATGATAATCATTATACAAATATTGTTTGGGTATTAGCCAAAAATGTTTTTTATAAGAGGTGTGGCAACTTAGTGTAGTAGTCTAGTTATTGCCCTCTCCAAGTGGCAGGTTTAGAGTTCGAATCCCACTGGCAATGATTTTGAAAAATAGGCCTTAAATAGTTGACGGCATTCTATTAGTTGGATCTAAATTAATCTATAACCTTGGTCACACTATCTAGTAATAGAAGCTTCAGTGCAATAAATCCAGGAGACTAGAATAACTAAAAACCTATTTAGCAAGTCCCAAGTTTGGAGGTAGTAGTGATTTATAACAGTACCACAGGAGGGCTAAATATGAACCAGGCCCTGAAATTAGAGAACCAAATAACCAGGTTCTAATGGTGGAGGATATACCAGCCAAACTGCTAGGTTGTCGCACTAAAAGAAAAGGATATACGCTCCAAAAGTATAGACCAAGGGGAGGGCATCCTTCAGGCACCTAAAGCCTAGGCAGACCAACCCTTCCAGGTTGCTGGCTGGAAGTAAGAGAAAGACTTATAAAGAATCCGAGTAAGAAAATGGTCTAAATACGGGGTATTAGGGTTGCTAAGAATCAAAACAAGGGCAAGGAGTATGTAATGGGCGCCTGATTAGAAAGGTTGGTGCTTAAAAAATGTTTGTAGAATAGCAGCACCTCAAAAGGTAGCGTGAGATACGAATACAGATTAGCAAGTCAATATATACTAATTAGGAAAAAGTTATAGAAACAAGCATGTGAATATATGTGTGGGACATGTACTGCTATGTTAGGTTTACCTCGAGAATAGGCTAGGCCTATATGAGTTAGTAAGTCTTAAGGCAGGGTGTGAAAGCCAATATGAGGTAATATTAATATCTACTTAGTTTAGTGAGGAATCTCTTCGGGTTAGAGGGCCGATAGAGATAGTTAGAACCAGATAGTTTAAATAGGTACCCCTATAGTTGGAGTGCAAATATAGCAGATAGTGTAGAACCTTCAGGTGGACTACTTAAATTAGGCACTCAAAAAGTGCATATTGTAATTATATATAAGGACCTCCACAGCAAAAGGTGGCAATGGGCCAAAATTTTTTATTCTGTAATTTTGTAAAAATTATATGCCTATTACTCTAATTCTTCGAGAAATTGCATTTTTAAGAAAAAATTCTTTTTTGGCTCATTGCCACCTTTTGCTATGGAGGTTCCCAATATACGGATATAGTTATTTTAATCTGACACAGGTATTAAAATGACACATGACATTTATACTATTCTTATAGCCATACTTTATTAATAATATAAAATGTGGCACATAGTGACACATGTAGTACTTGTATTACACTATATCATTTTAACTAATCAGCCATCTATTTACATGATTAATCAGTCGCAAGAGAATTATCTGAAACTAACAACTCAAAAAAAATTTTCTAGTTTTTGAATTAATTGGTCGTAATCCAAGTTCTCTATTCTTGATAAATGCATTTCCACACGAAAAATTTAATATCATTTGTGCCCGTTTCTTGATGTCATCATTTTTATTAAAGCCAACTCTTTCTATTGATAGTTTATATAGCATCAGATAGAATGATCGTGCAAAACATGGCAAATTAACTTTTGGCTCATAAACAATAGTTTCCTCTTTAACTAGTAATTGCAGGACTTCATCCGGTATGCATTCAAGTGCCCCTGCAAATGTGGCATTTTCACGATTCCTTGTGCTATAACCCAGTCGATAATTAAAATAGTTTCCTTTGAATCATGAAGAAAATTATATTTTCAAAGGTCCCAATATACATATCCATATGAATGCACATGTTCGAGGGTGGAAACTATATCTTTAATATCTGTTTTTCGCAACGTATTTACTTTCTTACCAAGATGAGTAATAACAAGAGTACTCTCATCATAAAAAAGGATTTTGGGGATATGAGGTGATTCTAACTTCGAAAGTTCTTTCAATACAGCTCTTTCTCTTTCAAGACAAGACAAATAATTTGCTTTTTTCATTATTTTCATAGCCACAGGTGTGTTCCTTGTATATTAATTCGTACACGACACTGGTTCTGCCTACGCCAAAAGATCAGACCAATTTCAGCCAAATTTCAATGATGGTTTAACTCATCCTAATCTTTCCGGAGAGCTTTCATTATAGTTACCAGATATCTTCACCCTTTTGAAGGACCTCTAACTTGTGTGTTGTATTTTAAATATTCACTCTTTATGTAATTATATGTGAACTGTGTATATTTTTCTGAGTAGTTTTCATTTTTATTCACCCTATAGATATTAATTATGATACAGTCTATTAACATGGCTGAAGTTGGAGTACTTTTTCACCAAATGATATCGTATGTTCTATATCTGTATTACTAAAGCTCTCACCAACTTGCTTCTTGATCTCACCAACTGCTACAACATTTAACGGATCCAAAGGAGAATCTAGTATACTTCTCAGGTATATAACTTTAACGTCATCATTGCCATATTTAAGGGAATCTTCCAAATTAGATATTTTATCAGGATTGTTGAAAATATAAGCAAGTTACCAAATAATTATGAACCCTTGGAAAAGGCGATTAAGTTCTTGATGGACACAAGTGCAGGAGAGGTGGGAGACATGTTTTGTAGAAAGGTTTTTTTTTGTAGATTGATATACATTATATAAGAAAATCGAGTCACACTAATAATCAAATTGCAAAAAAATTAGAAAAATTTGGGTTTTGGCTAGCATTAAGAGATTAAATTGCAATTCAGGCCATGCCACATGACTAGTAATAATCCAAATTTTAGCACTCAATAATTTTTTGAATTCATGTGGATTTTGTGCAAATATTTGGAAATTTTTGATAGTTCCTGATTCTGAAAAATACAAAGAATGTTGAATTGTCTTGGCGAACATAGGAACCAGGGTTAAATCGCCACTTAAAAAAATTCAGATGTGATTTATATTATTCACATATGGGTCTTTTCCTTGAAAATGACCTTACAGGACTTGCAGATTTTATGAATAAAAAATTATAATTTCTAGCTATCCAGTAATCCAATTCAAATAAACTTTTTTGTATGTTGTAGAACTTAGTGAGTTCTACAATTTTATATAAAGAATAGCGTAAAATGAAATAAACCAGCAGACTAAAAACACAAAACTTAGAAAATATATAAAAACATACAATAGGTGCAAAATCACCATAGGTGCGTTTTATAATAGATGTAATTTTTTCTAAAATTCGAAGATTTTCAAAAACCGTCTATCTAATTTCATTATTATTATTATTATTATTATTACAATTATATAAACTTACAGTTTGAATCAATGATCGTTGGAAAATTTTCGCTTAAAGTTAAAAAAAACTTACCCCGATTTGATATTTGAATTTTTTTTTTTACCTTTAATAATGAAGATTTTTCAACAACCATCTATTTAATTCCGATAAAAAATTTTTCTATATTTTATAGAATCAAAATAAATTTTTTTTGCTGAGTTTAATCAAGCAGCTGTTGAGAAATCTTCTAGAATCTTGAAAATTTTTCAAAAATTTAAAAGGATCAATATTTTGATTGGCTGCTTATAGCAGTGTTGTTGACTGGAATCTAGAACCAGGGCCGATGATTTTCTGCAGTGATAAATTGCCAATTCCGTCCGTGACAGAATCAAATTCTGCAAAAATTCCGTGCATTAAAATTTATGAGTTCTGTGTTGGTTGTAATAGAACCTTCCAATAAATAGATCGGATAATTTCGGATATCAAGCAAAATTTTTAACTCGACCATGCTCGTATTTTAGGTTCATTTCTTTTCTACATCGGAAATGAAAATTTTCGGAAGCTATATTTTTAGCATCACGTACTTATAAAAAAAAAAACCATAAACCTACTTTCTGCTATCCTTGATGCATTCCGTGTTTAGGACCTGATTCCGTGATTTCTGCGGCATTCTGTGAAAATCATCGGCCCCAGCTGGAATCTCACTGGACGTTAGGGTGTAATAATGATCATCACTAATTGCGGATTTTCTAATGGAATTTTGGTTTTACTGATAGTTGAAATCCCGACACTCAAAATCCCGAACAGATAGTATCAAAAATTGCTTTCGGGGTTTAAAAATTGACCTGACTGAGTAATAGAACCCAATTTATTAAGTTTTTATGATCTAATATAATTGAAATTGTAAAT